CAACCATTTTGTGATTCTGTGATTCCTTCCTCATGCTGAGCAATCCAGAGCATGAAGAAGCACCACTTGGGCTTGCAAGCCCATGACTAGAGAAGGCTACTGACCTCAATCTGCTGAATGGCCTCTTCCCGCTGACGGATGGCCTCTAGATCCTCTTCTGTAATTTCTGAGAGCAAGGCTTGATCCTGGTTCTGATTTTGCCACGTGCCATCTCCTCCATTAAAGATCTTCTCATCATCAGGTAGGTCAGAGAATGGGGTCCTAGGACTCTGCTGAGATGAGAAAGTGGAAAAAAAAACAGAAAACATCACTTCATACAGGAAAGGAAAATAATAATATAACAGATTGCATAAATCATGCAAAAAGGTGAAGAGGTTAGAGTAAATGTTAATACAGGAAATCAGAATGATCCATCATGGAGAACTAGCTAAACAAGAGAAACATATCAAGTCTTAAAGCAAGGAGCTGAAGCCAGATCCGCTCCTATTTACATTTCAGTCCTAGTGAAGTCTGATGAAAAAAAGTGTTCATGTACGTCTGAAAAAGGACATGTTTAACTTGCTGATTGTACTGGAAACTCTTCTGAAATTAGATACCTTTTCAAAGCCTATGTGTTTGCTTTGAAAAGTTTATGATCCCACTTGTTACACATGACATAACAAAATGTAACTTATTGTTGAGATAATCTCTAAAGAAAAGGGAGAGTAAAGTGGCTGTGTAGTCATCAGTTTGAGCATCAACATTTAATTTCACAATTTCATGTTCTGTTTCCTCTACTTGACCTGCTTTCACTAATACATCAGACTGTTTTCTTGGCAACTGATATTCACATTGCCTTTGGGAATTGTATTTGTGTCCAGATCCAAGATGGACTAAGTAGCATAAGCCAACTGCATCTACAATGAAGATGGGGCAGAGGTTTAGCAAGGTCTTCTCCTTCTCCAATCCATTAGCTTCTTGCCTACAGAGATTGTAGATTCAGTCTAGCCCAGATGCAGAGAACAAAACAACACAAGGTTGGTATGGACAATCAGCAGATTGAGCTCAAATATACACAGTGAAGACTCCAGTACTATAGCTACCTAAGTGTTTCACTTAAACATGTACACGGGTCATGTGTACATGTTTAAACAAGCCTCGATTTGAGCTTTAACACATAATCAAAAGTTGTAATACAAAAAGTGATCCCACTGTTTCCAATGTTCTAAAGTTGGAAGAAGAAACATCAGTCACTACAGCACATAGTTGACTCTCGTGATCTGAATGTCCCAAATCTCCCTGAATATTATAGAAAAAAAATACTGGATCCAGAGATAGCTGAAGCACAAAAATTAAAGCTCTTCAAGTGGTTATGCTTGAGAAATAAAGGTCTTTTCTTTCTTGTTATGGCTATGTTCTCAACAGTTGTCCACTGCCCTCAATTCCCATGCAGTGAACAGGAATTGAGGCTGTGTAGGAGCTCGCTGAAAGGGCACAGAGCATTGCAGGGCTGAAAGGGAAACTGCGATGCAAATGATGTCAAATCACCTAGGAAGGAATGAGAAAGCAGAACCACATGTGCTTGGTACAGAGAGATGAAGGAGAAAAAAAAAAAAAAAAAAAACTTGTTATGTGTTTTCATCTTATTTATTGTTGTTTTCTTAGAGATCTGCCCTGCAGGAACTGTGAAAGTGGCATGGAGGAAAAACGTAATACTGAACGCTTACAATGGGCATTCAGACAGCCCAACTGGATAGATTTTGATGCATATTAAGTATCTGGAAACTCATACTTAATTCTTTAAAAACATCTGAAAAAATTAGATGCCAAAACACTTTTGTAGTTGCCTAAATATAGGTTCAGGAGCCTAATCAAAGTCATTCATTATTATTAGTATCACCATCAGCTAACTGCAGGCAAGAATAATATATGATGAAGGAAATGGGATGGTGGAGGAGATGGATGTTTGCATAAAAATCAGCTGTAAGCATCCTTGTATCTCTCGAAAGTATAAACAGAAGATGCAATTTTCTACATT